CATCTTTTAGACATTTTTGCTAAAAAAAGGTATTTCTATTCATCTCTCTCAGGTTTTGTACTTTTAAAAAATGTTAATAGTGAATGATGGTGGAAAATACTTTCCTGTGCATTTCTCATTTGATCCCCACAGTAATACAGTGTGGTGCAGTGAATTGCTTAATATGGCCCTTTTAGCAGGACTGGGCAGTGTTTCATTCTGTTACACATAAGTTACTATGAGTCCGAACTCATTGGACAGCATCCCAAAACAAGCTATAATTTTGTACTACCCACTAAGTAACTGGATGGACCTAGGCAGTTGAAGTGTTTGTGACCCACCCAGGGGATTAGATAGCTTGGTAATAATGTATATGAGGTACATGGCACCTTTATGGCAGCTGTAGAATTGCTGTGGCAGCAGCGTCCATAGAACCAGGAAACCAACAGGAGACAGTGCAGTGGGCTTCTTGGCTCGTGGAGCTAAAAAATGGAGTGCCTTTGGGCTAGAGGGTTGTTGATGAAGTGGAGTGTCTCCAGAAGAGGCTCACCAACCTACATAGTGAGAAAGCTGAGTACCACTTACTGGCAGAGCTAAAGAATAATTGTAAGCTCCTCTTCTGGGACAAGAGGACACTTTCTACTCTGTAAAGAGGTACAGTGTTGAAACAGCTCAGGGCAGTTCTACCCCATCTTATGGAGTTGCTATGAATCAGAATCCACTTGGTAGCAGTGAGTTTAGATTTTAGAGAGGCAGACTAGGGAGTAAGACAGAGGCCAGGCCAAGAGCCAGAGTGAGGACCTGCTTGAGGTTATGACTGAGAAGAGGTTGTCTGATTGAAGAACTGCATGCTTAGCATTCCTGAACTTGAATGAGTTAGTAACCTGCTGTTACTCCACTACTTCTCACTGCTGTTGCGTCAATTCTGACTCACAGCTGATCTGGTGTAGTGGTTACACATTGGGCTCCTAATCCCAAGGTCAGCGGTTCAAAACCACCCACTGCTCCTTGGGAGAATGATGGGATTTTTACTCCTGTAAAAAGTTACAGTCTCAGAAACTCAGAGAAGCAATTCTACCCTGTCTATGCAGTTGCAGTTGCTGTGTAACCTGTTCTTTCCCTAATAAGCCCCACACTTGTGAATACTGTCTTTGAGTTCAGCTTTGCCATTGCAATGAATGATCAAATCCAGCCAGGAAGTAGGGTGCCCTGGGAAGAACAGCTGGTGCCAGAATTGGTAAAAAGATCGGCAGGTGAGGTATGTCTGACCTCTTGGGTGGTTGATGCTAATGATGCTAATAACTTCCCCTTGTGAAGTTAGAAAAGGTCAGATGCCTCTGCTGCACCAGTTTTATACATAGTAAGGAAGACATATGCTGTAAGATGCCATCGAGTCAGATCTAATTCATGGGATAGTAAATAAAACGTGTGATTTGGAACCAGACAGCCGTGAGTTATGATCTGTTGTTCCCAAGCGTTCTTTTTTTTTTTCTCTTAAGTGTGCTGGGGGTGGGGGTGGGGTGGGGGGCGGGAGTCATTCCCAAGCATTCTGATTGGATCTTTGTCTTCCTTACTTATGAAATGAGGATAAGTAGTTTTTTCATTTCTTTGCTCATTCAGTTTCATATCTGGCACAGCTTTACACTGTACTGGGGACTGTACTAGATGCCATAGATACATAAAAAGAAAGTTCCAGTCATTTTAGATCTGAGCATTAGGTATGTCAAACTTGGCATGGCTGTAATACACATTAGACCCATGTTTCTCCTCCTCCCCTCTCTGAGAAGTGAGAAAGAAAACAAGCTCCCCCAAAATTACCATATATACTCATGTATAAGCCAAGTTTTTCTTCTCTTTTTAAAAAAATTGTTTTATTAGGGGCTCATACAACTCTTATCACAATCCATACATACATCAATTGTGTAAAGCACACTTGTACATTCATTGCCCTCATTATTCTCAAAACATTTGCTCTCCACCTAAGCCCCTGGCATCAGGTCCTCATTTTTCCCCCTCCCTCCCTGCTCCCCCCTCCCTCATGAACCCTTGATAATTTATAAATTGTTATTTTGTTATATCTTGCCCTGTCCGACGTCTCCCTTCACCCACTTTTCTGTTGTCCGTCCCCCAGGGAGGAGGTCACATGTAGATCCTTGTAGTAGATTCCCCCTTTGCAACCCACTCTCCCTCTCCCCTCCCAGTATCGCCACTCACACCATTGGTCCTGAAGGGATCATCCGCCCTGGATTCCATGTTTCCGGTTCCTATCTGTACCCGTGTACATCCTATGGTCCAGCCAGACTTGCAAGGTAGAATTTGGATCATGATAGTGGGAGCAGGGAGGAAGCATTTAGGAACTAGAGGAAAGTTGTATTTTTCATCATTGCTACATTACACCCTGTCTGGTTCGTCTCCTCCCGGAGACCCTTCTGTAAGGGGATGTTCAGTGGCCTACAAATGGGCTTTGGGTCTCCCACACACACTCCCCGCCTCATTCATTATGATGAGATTTTTTGGTTCTGAGATGCCTGATACCTGATCCCTTCGACATCTTGTGATTCGCACAGGCTGGTGTGCTTCTTCTATGTGGGCTTTGTTGCTTCTGAGCTAGATGGCTGCTTTTTTACCATCAAACCTTTAAGACCCCAGATGCTATATCTTTTGATAGCTGGCTACCATCAGCTTTCTTCACCACATTTGCTTATGCACCCATTTGTCTTCAGCTATCGTATCAGGGAGGTGAGCACACAATGATAATGATTTTTTGCTCTTTGATGCCTGATAACTGATCCCTTTGGCACCTGGTGATCACACAGGCTGGTGTGCTTCTTCCATGTGGGCTTTGTTGCTTCTGAACTAGATGGCCGCTGGTTTACCTTCAAGCTTTTAAGACCCCAGATGCTATATCTTTTGATGGCCTGGCACCATCAGCTTTCTTCACCACATTTGCTTATGCACCCATTTGTCTTCAGCGATCCCTTCGACACTGTACACTCTGTGACAACCAACTCATGAGTCAGCAGACCTTGATAATCCCCAGGTGGCTCAGGTTTAGTAGCAGAAACTATGTCAAGCTTCGGCAGCCCAGCACCAGGGGTCACACAGATTAATCAGTAGCCATAACTACCAACCCAACAGTAGTCGCAGGTCCCCTTGGGCGTGTAAGGAGTGTGGCCAGGTGTTTCACAGGGACAGTGAACCAGACATAGAATAATTGTGCATTTCCTCTTAGAAACTATTTTAGTTTTATTTTAATAAATCATTCTATTGGGGGCTCTTACAACTCTTGTTACAATCCATACTTCAATTGTATCTGACATATTAGTACATAAATTCCATTTTTTTTTTCTAGACATTTACTTTCCATTGAGCCCTTGGGATCAGCTCCTCTTTTTTTCCCTCCCTCTTCCCCGCACAAGAATTTTTAAGTATAGAAATGTATACAGTAAAAAATTAAAATTGCTCTTTCTAATTCTTGCCCTCATCCCAACCACCCCAAATTAGTCAGTGTTAAATATTCAGTATGTATATGTCTAGATATTTTAATGTATATATTACAACATATATATGTGCATACTTTATTTATATTAGTATATGTCTATGGAGCCCTGGTGGCATTATGGGCTGCTAACTGCAAGGTTGGTGGTTCAAGCCCACCAGCTGTTTTGAGAGAGAAAGATGAGTCTGTCCACCTCTATAGAGATTTACGATCTTAGAAAACCCTGTGTAGCATCGCGATGAGTCCGAATTGAGTCGCTGGCAGTGGGTTTGGCTTTGGGTAGTTTGTGTATCTCCTCTTACTACTAAAATATATATTCAGAACATTCTTGTTACTTCATATTTGTATTCCTACTGTTACCTTGTTTTCTTTGTATTATTTCATTGTGTCATAATTTTCAAGGAGCCCTGGTGGTTACAGTGGTTACATGTTGGGCTGTGATCCTCAAGGTTAGCATTTGGAAACTACCAGATGTTCTGCTGGAGGAAAACCAGGCTCTCTACTCCCGCAAAGAGTTATAGTCTCAGAAACTCAAAGGGGGAAGTTCTACCCTAGTCTATAAAAATCCTGTCTACAAAGAATTCTAGCAGGAGAGAAAAAATGGCTAGGAGTCAGCATCAATTTGATTGCAATATGATTGGGTTTGGTTGGTCATAATTTTCAGTTAATGTTCTTATGCATATCATTTTCTTCCCTAGAAATGGAAATGCTAAGTGAAAGGATTGAGTAGTTAGCTTTTTTTTTGGCATATTTAACATTTTGATATGCACTGCTGTTGAATCTGTTCTAACTCATAGCCAACCCTATAGGGCAGAGTAGAACTGTTTCCTCAGGTTTCCAAGACTGTATATCTTTATGGGAACACAAAGCCTCATCTCTTCCCCAAGGAGTGGCTGGTGGGTTTGAACCACTGATAACTTTGTGATTAGCAGCCCAGTGTGTAACCCATTCTACCACCAGGGCTCCTTAACATTTTGATCAGTATTCTTAATTTGCCCTCCAGAAGTATCTGCATTATA